CTGTAGAGATATATTTTTCTCATTTTAAAGGAGTATGCCTCTCCCCTTTCTGTATTTTCTTTTATATATTTATGAAGTCTATGATTTTGTGTCAGGGTCAGATTGTTTGGATCATTTTGGGTCCATTTGGAGATATGGAATTGATTACTCCTACACACTTCCACATCTTCCCAGAGATGTTGATATTAGGTCCACTAGGGGACAGAAAGTACATTACTAGAATACTCTCTTGGGCTGGGGAGATTGTTCACTGGGTAAAGTACTTGCTTTGTAAGCATGAGAACCCATGTAAGAAAAGAACCTGAATGTTGTGGCATAGGCAATCTCAGTGAAGGGTGGATGGAGATAGGCAGATCTCTGGCACTTGCTGGCCAGCAGGACTAACCCATTTGGTGAGTGGAGAGTCCATGAGAGACCATCTCAAAAAACAAGGTGGACAGCATTTAAGACATAGAATGCAAGGTTGTCTTATAACCTCTGCACACACGTGAACATGCACATACATGTCCATGTGTGCATGCACACACACACACACACACACACGGTCACATGCATGCATGCTCAATGCACACACACAGAGAGACACATGCATGCACGCTCGCATACACACACACACACACACACACACACTCCCTTGTCATTCACCTGGATAGCTAACTTGGGGAACCACCAGTTTAGAGAAGTCGCCTTGATCAGTTTTTAACCGTGTCATTTCATATGTCCTGAAAATAAGTCAAATTTGTCTGAATTTTAAAATGAGTTAACCTTAATGGTTACATAGAATTTGGCAACTTCCTACATGAAATAGGGTTTAGAAGAAACTTAACATATCTTTAATAGTAGCATAAGTATCTCCCCAAATGCACCTTAGAATGATGCAGACCAAGGGAATACTTGTCCCAGTGAGACTTGGCCTGCAGAATGGCAGGCTTCTCCTTAAATCCGTCCATCTACTCAAAGTCTTACATCCAAATATTAGCTCTTTGTATGCCTCCCATTGTTCCATGTGACCTTCTGGAACAGTTGGGGACAAGCCTATGCCTGTCACTTCTGTACGATCATCATGCAGGTTTGAGAAAACAGTTGACCCACGTCTTTCCTTCTCCAAGGAAAGCATTCCTAATTTCTTCCACTGGTCCCCAGACAAGCACCACCGGGCCCATGCCTATTGGTTAATGCTGATTCCTTTGTTAGGTGGAAACTTGATCTTATCATGACTTCTTTCAACCCTGGTAGTTAGTTCCTAGCAATAATTGCCTGCACGTTGAGTCAAAGAAACACAAAGAACATTCCTTTAAGTTTCTCCTAGAATTTATAGAGGACTGGGAGGCACTAGCTGACCTGGACCTCCCAGGATATCTTTCCTCTCCTCACCTCTGCACCCTAACTCACTTGACTCAACACGGAGTCTTATGTATCCCTTGAGTCATTATGCAACTAGGGATGAGCTTAAACTTCTGACCCCCCACTTCTCCAAGTGCACTCCCACTTGATTTATTGTGGTAGCAGTGGGTAGGTCCCGTGGCTTCCTACATGCTAGACGGGCACTCCACCAGCTCTTTCTCAATCCTTTACTTCCCATTTTTTGAGGGTTAATGCAGTTACCCACACACATTTACTATTCCCCACACTCCTCAAGAATTTTTTTACATTACAGGTCCCCGTGGCCCAAGGAATTCTTGACATGCCATTTACAGTATTATTTTGAGAGCGACTTCATACCTAGCAGCTAACAACACATGGTAGGAACTTCTAGGAAATGGACAGATAGGTCTACAGTAACTCTGTTCTGCGTGGCCTGCTGCTCTCCTCTTCCTCGTCCATCTGCTCTCCCTTTGCTTTCTGTTCTCTTCCTGCCCCGCCAGAAAAATCTCCCATTTGCACACCAGAAATGGACCTGGATGCTGTTCCGCAGCCAGCTGTGACAGAGTGCAAATAGAACCTTGAAGTCCAGGAGCATCACTGCTGCTTTCTTCCCTGTAGAAGGAAGACACTTTCTAGCCTAGCACAGGGGCAGATGCAAGGCTCTCTGGCTTGGAATCCTGGCCTTGCCAGTTACCAGCGAGGTGCCCTGAGCATATGGCCTGGCATTGGGCCTCAGGGATAAAATGAAAAGTGTATTAGTGCCAATTTCCAAGAAACGCACTGAGAATCAAGTGGTTAATTCACATAAAATTATTAAAACAGTACCTGAAATATAATTGGGGTACAATAAAAAAGTGTCACATTATTATTGAATAAACTATTTGAGCGTATGTGCACTGCGTGCAGGCATATGTGTGTGTGTGTCTGTGTGTGTGTGTGTGTGTGTGTGTGTGTGCGCGCGCGCGCGCCATGTTATGACAGATGAAGCACCAAACTTAAAGGTTTATTTGTAGTGTTTAGGTCCCCAGATTGACCAATATAAATCAGTGTGATGAGTGGGAGATAAAAATCAGTGTGCTGAGTGGGAGATAAAGCTTTCGATGTTCTCTCTCTCTCTCTCTCTCTCTCTCTCTCTCTGTGTGTGTGTGTGTGTGTGTGTGTGTGCGTGCGTGCGTGCGTGCGTGCGTGCGTGTGTGTGTGTGTGTGTGTGTGTGTGTTTCCTCTCCTCTTCTCTCTGGAAAGTCCCTTCTTTCACACCAAGATCTTTTTCCTTTCCTTCAGTTCCACGGTCCCCTCCCACTGGTCTGGAAGCTACATGTTTACTACATTTTGCTGTGTACTTAACAAAGTCTCAATCAGACACTGTGTTTCCTTTCTTCCCATTGAGGACCTAGGAACACTCTCACTGGGGCTTCTTTGCAATTAGGCGACTTCACACAGAAAAGACTCTTGACATCAAAGTCAGCAGTCTCCGCGTTTGATGCCTGGCTTGCTTGGCTCTTGTATCTTGACAACACTGCAGCCCTCTTGAAGAATACCAACAGGAATAAATGTTTTACTGTTGTGGAAACTACAGACCATTGAAGCTGAATAGGGCCTCAAAGATGATTCAAGCCAGTGCTTTTCAAAATTTTCACCCAGCCCAGCAATAAGAAATATCACGCTGGGTATAGAGAGATGGATCAGTGGTTAATAATGCCTTGTTCTTCCAGAGGACCCATGTTCAGTTCCCAGCACCCACATCAGGCAGCCTCAGTCCAACTCTAGAGATGCAATGTCTCTGGCCTCCGTGGGCACCTGCACTTACATGCACATGGACTCACAAATACACCTCACCAAAAAAAAATAAATAAAAATAAATCTTTTTAAAACTGTGGGTACACTCCCATCACCAATATGCCCACATTTAATATTTACAATTTCAATAAACCCATAATTCCATTCTTTTGTGTGAGTTGTTCCATTCTATTCTATCCCCTCTTTTTAAAAAGTGGTCCAAACCCACTAAGCTGATTGCACACACACCAAAAGATTTGTGCCACTCTCTGAAAATCCAGATGTGCCCTAATGTCCCTGCTTTACAGCGGAGGAAGCCCAGTCTCCAAGCCATGGCATGGATCTCTGGGAGCTGCACAGAAAGTGCAGGAGGGCCTAACTCTTCTTCCTCATCTCCATATCCAGTTCCTTACCCATGTTAGTCAGACCAGAAAAAAATCATTTGATGGGGGAAACAGAGGACTTTGGTAATGCGCAGTTATAAGACAGAGAGCTAACCTCTTCTGTTATCTCTTATACATCCAGTTGTCCAAGTGAAGCCAGAGCCCAGGGGCTCTTGCACAATCCTAGGTACCATTCCTCATCAGCTATGATACTCACATTTGGCCAAGTTAATGTGGACAAAAAGGAGGACACTGCCCAGAGATAGTTCTAACCAACCAGATCCACTAGTTGTTGACATGGTTTTATAGACTTGTTTGTTCTGTTTTTCACGTTAGCTTTTAGCTCCCTGGCTGTGCCTGGTACAGCCCCAAGCATATTGTAAGCTTGAGGTGAGTATGTATTGACTCGTAAGCCATGCTTCATAGGGGCACCGGGAGAAAAGATCTACATCGTGATAAGGGGATGGGTCACACCGCAGTGAAGATGTCATCTATGGCAGGAGAACATGCCTTCCAAATCAGGGGTCTCCTAAGAGCTGCTCATTATGGGCAAGGGGCATAACTTCTCTGCTGCCGGCCTCATAGCATGATCCTATGAGTTAATCAGCGAAAACATTTCTCCCACAAGGTTTGGCTCATACATAGTAAGCAAGGAAACTGCTGATTGTTGCCTGAGGCTATGTTAACTAAACAGCAGAACAGGGAACCTGTTTCAACATCACTGAGCTGAGAGGGGAGGTCAGAGTGATCTGGTTACTAGTGGATAGTGTTCATGTTCCACCACGGTCTACAAAGCACATTTCTAGTTATCACACCACGAAAGAGTGGCTGCTTACAAAGGCAGTGGAGATCACGGCAAACGATTAAGTAAGTAGCCTGAGAATATGTCCCAGGCAAGAGACTGCTTAGGACGCCCGGTGTGCATTTGTGATGGATGGAACTTTTGACCTGATGAAAATCTAAAGACAATGCCTTAGGAGCCATGGCTGCCTGCCCCTGACAAAGCCCATTGTGTGGTGTTACTTGGCATGGTGAGGTTGGGTGGGGGAGTTGTGTGTGGGGTCCATTAGTCATTGCTAGGATTTTCAAGAAATTGTTTAGAAAGTCTAAGTCAGGAACGGCAGATTGGATAAGAAGATGAGAGCCAGAGTCCCGCACACAGACTCTAGGAATGGAGCCTCGGTTTCCCCTCTGTGGAATGTAACTGCTGCAGCTTTATAACGTAGTTCAGAAAACTGGTAGGGCTCACTGTGTAGAGCACTTTACAATCATAAAGGTTAGCTTTTATTACCAGCAAGACCTGCGTGAGCAGATGACTAGTGAGGTGTGACACCGGGCATGGTCAAAGGGGTCCCGGCCATTCAACACTAACCATCTCAGAAGGATGTAAGCTCCCTCAGCTGACGGCTGAGACAGAAACCCTGAACCAGTATCCACAGGTCTGAGCAGCCCTGGCTTCTTCCTGTCTCCCTGCAGGTGCCTTCGTGGTGTGCTGGACCCCAGGTCTAGTGGTGCTGCTGCTAGATGGCCTAAACTGCAAGCAGTGCAGCGTGCAGCACGTGAAGCGCTGGTTTCTGCTGCTGGCGCTGCTCAACTCCGCCATGAACCCCATCATCTACTCGTACAAGGACGAGGACATGTACAGCACCATGAGGAAGATGATCTGCTGCGCCTCGCAGGACAGCAACGCGGAGAGACGCCCCTCGCGCATCCCCTCCACCATCCACAGCAGGAGCGATACCGGCAGCCAGTACCTGGAGGACAGCATCAGCCAGGGCCCTGCGTGCACTAAAAATGGCTCCTAAACCTAGGACATCTCTGCCCTCTTCCCCTGAGGAAAGAGCTGTTAAGAATCCAAGCCTCTTAACAAAGCATGTCTAAATGCATGGGCCATGTTGTTTGAAGTCCCCCTGAATCACTGACGGGGTTTTTAAAGTTTCATTGTCAAGGAAGATAAGAGTGAAAGTGAACAAAAAAAGGGAGACAAAGAGGGTTCCTGCTTGCGCGTGGACAGCTCAATCCATCCTCCAGCTCCCAGCTCTGCCGCCATTGTCTTTGAGTTTTCGATGATAGCATTGAAGGGTCTAGGTCAAAAGAAATAGTAAATAGCGGTACTAGAGTCTCCTTGTGTAACTGCCAGACTCTGTGTAGTTGTTCCTGCATGCATTTAAAGCTTTCAAAAATGCTTTAGCAGTGGGCTTTGTTTTCCCCAAAGAAACCTTGGCCAGGAGCTAGGTGGACTGTAGGAAGCTGGGAAAAACCAGTACAGGCTCTGGAGTAAACTTGACTTATTATCAGATGAACTTTCCGAGGAAAACCATTTATTGAAATGAACACTGGAAAGGCGGACGTATAGAAGCTCTTCTGGGGTGTGACAGCCTTTTGTCCTCTAGGTACGTGAAGCTACACGCTCTGCTTGGGTGTACACTCACCTCTACTTATACAATTCAGCTTTTTAAAAAACAGCGAGCTTAATTCAGTGTCTCCTCGGCTTTCCAGTCCGAGCTAGTGGCTCTACAAAGCACCTTTGTATTCTAAACAAGAAGAGGAAAAGCGTTCACTTCTAAACCGGCCTCTGCATCGCAGAGTAAAAGATGGTATTGACATGCAGGCTGGACCTCTTCCGAGTAATGTGGACTGAGAGCATGCGCAGAGCCCCAGCCTTGGCTACTGGACAACACTAGTAAACTTGCTGGGCTCTGTGCAAAGCAATTGCGCATCAGGTATTTTACCCAAAGCTGCCAGCATACTTTTTCTTATGAACTGAATTTTGATTTGTATTTTTTTTCCCTTTGAAAACCAATGGATGGCAGATCAGTTGAAAACAAAAATATTGTTTCATACACACAGGCTACTGACCAGCATTTTTTATGTAAGACATTTAGAGTATATTCTGACTTATAGTAAGAATAACTTCAGGACCTGTACTATAGTATTTATGTAGTTTGTAAAAGTTTACATGTTTTCTTTTCTTTCTTTGCTTTTATGATATGACATTTATGTGCACAAACTACTTTTAATAAAAGAATTTAAGAAGTTATGCTTTGAGATATAATGGCCTAGACTATAGAAAGTATAATTTGAAGGCTTAGATTTCTACATGCTTGCCACAGTAAGTGGATGTACCCAACACTTATGTTAAAGCTACCTATAAAATAAAATTTTTAAAGGGCCTTTCTCCCATGATGAGGTACATTATTGCTTTTTATATTATCTAAGCAAAAATACAGCTTGTGGTGACTGCGACTCACATTCTATTACAGAAGAAAAATCAAATTTGCCACGAAGTACGTACTGTTGGTGTTTTATGTAGGCATTTGGAATCTACAGCTGGCCAAAGGGCGGAGAGCTGAAATTGAATTCCAGTCCCTGAATAGCTACTAAGGGATCTTTAAAGGTTTTATTTTGAGGCAAGAACCATTTTTAGTGCCCTGCATCTGAGTGTCATATTCAGAATGGTGTCTGGAGGGGATCCAAAATGTGGAAACACAGTGTGGAAATATATAGCTTTTGTTTTTATGCTCAAACACATCTCGAGAATGGCACAAGAATAGGGAATTCGTGTATATTTGGAAATGATGATTGGAGAGGTTACAGAGTTCACTGAGACCACTCAGAAAATCCAGCCTTTAGTGTGTGAGGGGAATAAATGCAACAAAATAAGGTTCCCTTGGCAATTCTAAGACCCCGCGTCTGCAAATCTTATCTACATTCATTGTGTTGGTCATACTGAGCAGCTTACCCAGACTTTGTCAGATCCATATTTGAGTCTAAGCACAGATCAAGCAAGATGTCATTTCTACATACTTAAGGTTTGTAGCATTGTCTGTGGCATTATGATCAACTTGTGATGTTGAGAGAAATTAGTCCATTATGGAGTCTGCTGGCTTAGAAAGAAATAAATTTAAAAAAAATAATAGCAATCTTTTGAAATTTCTTGGTGAAATACGATTTTGTTGAAATCGAGTAGTTGATGTGGGGCCAGTTTGTGACGTTTGGAAGCCCTGAGTTTGAATAAAATGATAAAATAATCCTGATTGCAATTGTGTAGTTTGAAATACAGCCAATAATAGCTTCCAACATTTGTGTATGCCTCCGACTATGTGAATCCCTTTGTGAAAACTGATATCTTGATGATTTTTACAAATGCTAAAAATCAAAATGGGTCCTGATGCTCCTTAGCATCTGGCTTCCTTAGCACTCTGAGCATCTGCCCAGCTTACATTAATACTGTCCTGGGACCAAGGTCCCAGCGTCTGTGGCAGCAAGTGTGACTCTGTGGCCTGTGGCTATCACCCCATGGAGGCCACAGGGGTTTCTAAGCTCTGTGTTTGTAGTCGAGCCTGTTAGCTCCTTATCCCTCTGATCACAGTAAGGGCGGTAAGACTATCTGGTCCTCTTTTTCTCATTGGTGAAACAAGTGGATTGAAGATAAGCCCTGTAAAGACACCATGACGGTGACTTGGTGACAACTGAAAACTCATTAGGACCTGGAATGAAAATAGCCTCAACATTACCCTACAACACGATGCATCTCACTGTGTCCAAAAGAGAATTAAAAACACACACGGCACAACGGACGTCTGAGAAGCTTACCGTAGAATCTCATTCCCTTTGTGGATCGCTAAACATGCTGTTAAATTGAAAATCCCCACAGCGCCTTCTGGTTTTATGTACTGTCTTTCAGGCACAGAGGCTGGGGTCAGGATTGCTTAAAGATGACAGTTTTTAAAGTCAGAGAAAGAGCATTTCATGTGATGGATGCCCTCCCAAACATATCACACAATCTGCTTATAATTAGACATTAGTTTCCACAGAGATGCAAGTATCAGTAGGCATGCTGCTGCACGTTCTTGTTTGGTTGGTTGGTTGGTTGGTTTGGTTTGCTGACTCTGCTGCTGTAATTTATCCTTTTCTCCACTGTACCTTAGAGTATGCTCTTTCTTAAATGATCAGGTGGCAGATTATTGATGGCAGTTGCCAGGGGGTTGCAGTATCATAGCATCCGTAACACCTGGGATAAGGTGTATTGTGCAAACATACCACGCATAATGCTGGCTTGTGTGTGGAAGTTTCAGAGCACGGAAATAAAAGTAAGTGTCCCACCATACTATGTAACGCAGTGACAATAGGTGATGAAGGTTGGCAGTCCACTGGTACACCCAGTTTTGGATCTTACAGCCCATGGCTATTTTTAAAAAGTTGCTATTTTATCCATTAACACATAATATTTTTCTGTATCAGCAATTTCAAATTTGTACAATCCAATTTCCATAAAATGCAGCTGCCCTTTATTTGCTGTTTGGAGCTTCCACGTTACACAATAAGGTTTATTGAATAAAAGGGGGAAGGCTGTGTACCACAGCCCATGCTGCATCTTTTTCTACATTAGGAAAGATGTCTGTTACTTCCTGAAACCACTTTTACATTTTTTATATATGTGCACATATGTTCATATGACATGTTCATGTGTGCAGTGCGCACATGCATATCCATGTATGAGAAGACCAGAGGTCAATAACAGATGTGATTCATTAGAACACTATACACCATGTATTCTGAGACAGGGTCTCTTACTAACATAGATACTATTGATTAGCAAATTTCAGGTTACAAAGTCAACATATAAAACAAGCATTTTTCACATACACTAACAATGGATTTGCTCAGAAAGAAATTGGGGAAAATATCCTACTCACAGTAGCACAAAAAAAATACCCATGAATAAACTTAATCAAGGAAATGAAAGACCTGTAATGAAAATGTTAAGACACTGAAATAAAAAATTACAAAGATATAAAAGTAAAAAGATCTTCCATGCTCCTAAATTGGCAGATTTAATATGTGGACATGGCTTTATTACCTAAAGTAATCTACAGATTTGATGTAATGCTCCACCAAAATTCAAATGATCTTCATGGTCATAGTTGATATATAGCCATGGACCGCATTTCTTGACATCATCCATCCCTCCTGTCTCTAGGATCTTGACACAACAGTGAATAAGAAAGGTACATATAAAATTCAGACATGCAAAGTCATTAAGACTTATTGTCCCTGTGATCTTAAAAGAGAAAATGGATCAAATAATTTATAGAATGGAGTAGTATTTGATTCAAGGAGAGGAAGGTTCTTCATTTGATAGGAAGAGGGTTGTGACTAATGCACCCGTGAAGAAATTTTCATGAAATTATCTTCATATCTTCATGTGGAAACTAAAACCCACAAGATTGAGTGTTCAAAAGAGAGGGTGACTGATCAAGGATGAATTTTACCTAAATATCCCCTGAGAGCTTCTCTATTCAAAACATGCTTGTTTCTTGATAACTATGTGTAACTTCAGATTCTGAAGAGCCAGTGTTTAATTACAATGTTACCCTAATGAAGAAAGCCTTTTACTCTTGGAGTACTTGAATTTTTGAGAATATATGCTAAAGAAATTATCCCAAACTTGGAAAGGGCCTTGTACACAAAGGTGGTTAACACAGCATAACTTTTAGCAATTAGGAACTTGTAAACTGTGTAAATATTCAAATGTATAACATAATGTGCTATAGTCCAGGCCTCTACTGTGGAGCTTTCATATATTAGCCAGGTGACACTGACAAGTTACTCTGTACCTTAGATTATCTATCTTTCAAGAAAGATGAAAACTATATCACAGGGTTTTATGGAGCTTAAGGTGATCAGATAGCACACTTAGAATAGGGCTGGGCACTGGGCATGCATAGTTATTGATGGAATGCTACTTAGCAATTTAACATTACAGGCACATCCAAAACATGTGTATTATAGACTTTTCTGATGGGCTGAATATTGTATAAAGAGATGTGTCCTTAAGGGCTTGGGTCAGAGCTACTACGAAAATGGGATTGCTTTTGCAGTAACGGGACACCAGATATAACCCATGTGGGGTGATTAGAATTCAGTTTCAGATGAGACATTTGATGTTGTGGAGACAGAACACAGGTGGAGATGTCAACAAGGAAGCCAGGTAAACAGATCTAGATGGGGTGTTTCGGTCTCAGAGATGTGTGAGTGACATTAAAACTCTGCGCCGGGGATTCACTCAGCTAGGGAGTGAATACAGACATAACAACAAAGTTGGAGACTCTGCCTCTGAGGATTCTCAGTGTCTGAAAGACAGAGAAGCAAGAAGTCAGTCAGGGAGACAGAAGGCAAACCGTTCCTGCCAGAAAAGATCCGGAAATCCAGAGAGCATGGGGTGAACAGCTATGTCAAGCACTCTAAGCCAAGGTTTGAGGTTTCATTGTTAATTTGGCCTTAAAGTTATGAGGACATTGACAAAGTCGTTTCAGTGGAGCGGAGTGGCGGGGATGAAAGCCAGCTTGAAATGGGTTCAAAGGAAAATGGGAAGAGAGGTTTGGAAGCAGGGAGAACAGGCTATTTTTGAGGCAATTCTTGTTTTGTTTTGTTTTTCCTGAAATGGGACCACAGAAACAGAGTAGCAGCTGGCGGGCCATGTGAGGTCAGCGAGGGATTAGATGTTGAGAGGGACGGGTGACAAGTCAGGACAGCAATGGCCATGAGAGACGGAATGGGAGAGATAATCACGAAGGGCCTGGTCACACAGGGACATTGCACTCATAGCACATGGAGGGATGACAAGGTGTGTGTGCAGTGAGGGGAGGCATTCGTGAGGAAGGGAGGTCTTCGCCCCGTTCCCCTGTATTATACATAGGCAGATGAGCATTTCAGGCCCTGAGCAGAGAATAATGCTGAGTCAGAATGAGTCAGGGAAAAGGATAAAGGAATCATAGCCCAGGCCTTCCAGCAGGTGCTCCATGAGTGAAAATAGCAAAGACATAACACAGTGTGATCTTATCCTTCGAGAGACAACCCATGTAGTGAACTCACTAAGCCAGGGAGAGCTCTACAAGGTAGCAGGCAGGGAAGACAAGACTTGGAGCCCATCTGGAAGCCCAGCTCCAGTGAGCAATAGGCCAGCCTGGCCAACAAGGCTGCCCTGGAAAGAGCAGTAAAAACTGCACGGAAGTCCTGCCCTACACCAGCATTCCA